TTCTTGCTCCTGCCATTTAAGCAACATCTTCATCCTTTAAATGTGCTCCTATTTTTTCTTTCTTTTATTTATTATTTCCTTCTTGTACATCAGCTTCCTAATTTTGACATGAATCCATTTTAGCATTGGGTTTTGATTAGCTTTATTGTTTTTGATTAGTGTTGAGTTCAACTTCATCCATCCCTTTTGCTTAGCATTGACATGAGCAACCATTACCCATTTGAATTGAGTAGAAAATTAATTATATAATATTAATAAATTAAATTGACTTAATCTTATTTTGATTAAACTTTTCCCAATCTCATTCATATTTACTTTAATTATATTATGTCTAATCAGTATTATAATTTTCCATATGGTTTTTTTATTAAATCTATTTTATAATTAAAATTAATATAATAATGAAGTGCTCTTGTAACAATGATTTGATTATACAATTTTCAAATGATAAATTGTACATTTAAGCTTGTATTCAAATAGTATCAATTATTCATAGGTAATAATTCACAAAATTTTATCCCAAAATGTCAAGGATTGCCTGAATCTACTAATGAAAGTAATGAAGAAAGTAATTAAATTGTTCGATTTATGTAATAATTTACTAATAAGAATCTTGATTAAAATTCTTTTAAATAGATTTTTGAGTTCAATGCAAATAGTTAAAGTGTATAACATTAAATAAATTGTAGCATTTTAAAATGTCAATTGATAATGATAATAATTTTAGAATTATGAGTTCTCAATAGCCTATTATTAATCAATGCATCTGTTAACATGAATTAAAAAAATAGAAAAAATAAAAACAGAAAGCAAAACAACCACAACCTAAACCGACTATTGAAAAAAATTAAGAAAATTCAGATTCTAAAACATCTCAAAAATAATCGAAAGCTCATTCATAAGTGAATGAAGATATTCGCATTTTTGAAGATAAAATTAGATCATATACATCTGACATTGATGAATCGAAAAAAAAATCATTAAATCTTCCACAAGAGTGGATAAAAAGATTAGGAACCTAAAAAAAAAAGAAGTGAAAATGATAAAAATACACAATCTTAAAAACAAATCATTTTAAAATTTAAAATTACTTAATTTTTGAATTATGTATCAATTACAATATATATACAAATATTACATACAAGATATATTTAAATATAAGAGATAAGTATAGTTATCAATTAAAATTATCTAATAATGCTAATCTTGCTTATATCTAATTAATAAGTAAGTCATTCAATTTTTATTCTTTTTCAACATTTATTTTTACATTTATTTCCTCCTCTATCTTTTAAGCTTAACAATTTAAATGTTTAATTATATCTAAAGTCTTTTATACCCTATCTTAAGAAGATAAAAGGCTATCATCAACTATGTTTCTCTAAATATTGTAATAAAATTACCCACTCACTTGGTTGTACTTCTTAAACCTTTTTATGAATGTAAATACCCTTAGCTTATTCTTTTTTTTTACATTTAATTTATGGAATAGGTGACAATTTCTAAATTTATTAATCCCTTAATTTTAATTTAATTTATTTCTTTTTATTTTCTTCAGGCTTTTCTTCTGTTTATAATATTTTTTCTAGTTTAGTTATCAAATATTTATCAATAGATAATAATTGACTACCTTCAGAGCTGGTTTTGTTAGATTATTCATGTAAAGAAATAGGTTTTGATTTTTAGATAGATAAATAAGCAACTGATGGATCTTCATGAAATGTTTTAGAAACTGGTCTTGAATAAATCTCTTTTACAATTTCTGAATATTTTTATTAAGCATATTTTCTGGATTTTATTTGTTATCTTTTAGTAATCTATTTTAAATGCTCTTCTTGTTGATCATGAAGTAATTTAAGATAAGTATCAGATTTCTTAAACCCCAATAATGGAACAGACTTTTTTTTACTTTATCTTTCTATTTCTTTTACAATCTTATTACTATCATATTGTTATTAATGTAACAATATTGAGCTAAAATTGATAGGTTAAAAGAGGTTCTTTTTTGATGATAACATCTATCGATGAAGTTGTTCTTAAATTTATTTTAATTAATTGTCTTTATTTTATAATGCAATTTTTTCTCTTCTTATTCTTTCTTTTATTAAATTAATTTTCTTGTCTTCTTCTAATGATTAATTTTTTCTATTATTTTCTAATTCTACCAAAATAGATGACTTATTTAATCGTTGTTTCATTAATATAAATAATTTTATTATATTATAAATTTTGATTATTTCTATTCTCATTTTTTTAGTAATACACTTTGTATCATTCTTTTTTCAAGCATATATTTATAGATTAATTCTTTCAAAATAGTTTTGTCAACACATTTAAACAAATTTAAGTCCTTCACTTCAAAACCTTAAGCAGCAATATATGCTCCACGTGCCCCAGACTTTCCTTTTTTATAAACTGATCTAAACTTAGTTATGAAGTCTGCTTTCAATTATTTGTAATAATTCTGGGCAATTACTAATTATACTTTTCTTTTATTTATTAATAAATATTTACCCATCTAAATATGGTGATTTTTTAACTTCTTCATCCACTTAAAAGTTTATAATTGTTTTATTCATTTACTTTTTAATTTCTTTCACCTCTATACAATTTTAATAATGATATTATACTTTCAATATCTTCTTTTTATATCTAATTGTACATTACTCCCCAATATTTATTCCATAACATAATTATTCTTTAAACATATGCTCCCACTCTTTTTTTGTAATTTCTATAGGATTCTATAACTGTTCTTATCAATCTTCTAAATCTATAAGTTTTTTGAATGATTTCACCTATCTATCCATAACTTTTCATAAATGAAAAACAGATAAATTCAGCTCTTGTTTTTACTGTTTTTTAATAGATTTATGCAAAAACACAAAGACTTTATAAAGTTTGAAATTTGGTTCTTATTTAAATAGTTTCCCCATGTTTAGTAAGATATTTCTTTAAATTTAATCTTGTTCTATGTTTTTTTCTGATTATAGTAGCTTGATTCATTAAATGATTTGCCATTCCCTAAAATGATGATAATAATATTTACTATATATTTAACACGAATTAGTCTGCAAATAAGTATAGAATATAGATTTGTAAGCCAATTTTTTTATTGTTCTTTAATTTATTAATCTATTTAATCTCTAACATTTAATATATCTTTAATAATCTTTTTTTTCTAAGAATGTTCATATCGCTCTCTAATTAGATCTTGCTTATCTTAATCAATTATCTATTTATTCACTAATGTTTCTTAAAATCGTTTTGCTGATTAGACTCTTCTAATCAATAACTATTTTTTTTAATTATCTGGTTCATATTATCTTAAATTCATATTCATAAGTATTAAATCTTTTGATTATCTCCTTGATAAAGCACTATTAATCCTACCAGACATAAATGCAGTCATGGGTCTCTCTTTTTCCTCTTAATCTTGCTTTTATAACTTTTGTATTTTCATTCCATATTAAATCTTTGCATGAATTATTGATTATTGTTAACTAAATATAGCCATATACAAAAATGGAGTAGTAAATATATTATCTTCTCCTGGCTCAGTATATCTTAATACCTATTTTCTCTAAAATGCTTCTTCAAAATTGAATCTATTGGGTGTCAAAGTGTGTCTTGATATGTAAAATTTCATTTTAGCTTAATTTGTAAAAGTAAAATCTAAGATGTTAATGCAATTTTTTACTAATTATCAAAGGTTTTTTATGGCCAGCCAATGGGACTTCAAAATAATGAAATGTGCATAGTTATAGATGAATAATATTAACTAATTTAGCATCTAATTGAGCTCTTAATTCATTAATCACATAACCTTATTATTTTTTTACAACTTCCGTTTAATAGTTGTATTCAAAATCTTTTTTTGATGGTATTATCTATTTAAGTTTCCTAGCTTCCAATTAATTCAATAACTCATAATTTTAATGTAAATTGTTCTGCTATACAATTGAATTTTTAAAGTCTATTGTTTTCATTTTATTAATTATGGAATAAACTAAAAAAATTCTTATTGGAGGTGGTTGTTTTTGGAAGCATGAATTGAATATGTAAAGATTAATAGGTGTAATCCATACTGAAGTTGGTTATAGTGGGGGTATTATAGATCATCCATGTTATAAATTAATATGTACAGGATAAACAAATCATGCTGAAGTAGTATTGGTACATTATGATCAATCAGTTATTAAATTGGAAGACTTGTTATATTCATTTTTCAATTAGCATGATCCAACTCAATTAAATAGATAAGGATTAGATGTAGGAACTCAATATCGTTCATGCATCTTTTATTATGATGATGAGGATGTATAAGTTATTCAAAAGGTTTTGGAAGAAGTTAAATAGTTTAATAATGATGAAACCATTCATACTTAAGTAGAAAAAGTCAAAAATTATTGGAAAGCTGAAGAAATGCATTAAAGATACTTATAAAAAGCAGGTTAAAGTGCCGAAAAAGGTTGTGAAGATATAATTATGTGTTATAATTGATTAATAAAAATAAATAATAAGAATTTATGAGGCCAAGTTTCCTCTTGATTACCTTACTTAATATAGTTTATGGGATCAATTATTCCATTAGAGGATAAAGCAATCTTATAGATTTAGATCCAAATAATGATGATTTGTAAATTAACGAAGGATTTAGGGAAGCAGCAGATCTCATTTTTGGAACCCTCTTCTAATATTTGCCATATGTAGTTTTAGCTCTTACGTTTATATATTTTGCAAATAAATTCTTCCCTACAAGATAGCCGAAAAAAATATTGAAAAAATTGCCAATCCAAAAACGATGATTATTATTTAATTGATATTAACAATATTACACTATTTTAATGTCTATTTTTTTACTCTTTTAAAGAACTCTCCCTATCATTACTCTTTTTAAGTGAAAGCATTCAATGAAGATTCAAAAACAGACTTAAAATTATTTAAAAGAGAGCTAACATTAATAAAATTATTAAAGTTAATATTTTGTTTTTATCATTCTCATTTATCCCTTTTTGATTTCCAATCTAGTAAGGCTTTTAAATTTTTATCACTATTTGCTACTAGCTTAATATAATTATCTAATTATTATTATTAATCTGATACCCATAAATGCATTTGCCTTCGCTATACCATATGTAACTCTAGCTCTATCAATCAATTTTCTGCTTTTTTATTCAGGTTTTTCTGATTTAGCACAATCAAAATGTTATTAAAAATATTCTAATGATTTAGCTGTATTTCCTTTGCTTTAATATAATTTAGCCAAATGCAATGCAGCATCTGATTATGAGTTATATAACTTTTAATCCTTAGCTAAAGCATAGTAACTTTCTAAATGCTTTTAAGCTTCATCTACATCTCCCTTCTTTAAATAACATTAAGCTAGAGATGAATGTGCTTCCATTTCCTTTTATTTTGAATCCTTATAAAATGATTACTAAATATACTTCTTTGTGTAACTATTTTACAATTTCCAAAAACTTATGATGGTATTAAATACTCTTTTAGATATTCTACATTTTAAAATATAATCCACCAATTTTGTTGCATATAACTCCTTCTGATTCTAAATCTCCTGCTTTTTAGGCTGCTTCTCTGCATTTATCATAATATTTTAATGATTATGCAATTTAATCATTATCTCCCTTTTCATATTCCTAAGCCATTCTGTTGTAGATTTTAATCAATTCTGTTGACATTTATTCAACAACTGAATCCAAGTTCTATAATTATTCACATTGTTTCATGCTTTCCTCTAAAATTTATATTGCCTAATCTATCAAACCAACTTGGTAATGACATTTGGCATATCCTAATTTACCTTTTCCTTCAGCTTTAGCTTCCTATTATACAAACGATTTTTACTGTGTATTATCTAGATATTTAAATTACTCTTTTATAAAAATAGGCTGCCACAATGTAATCTTGGTATTCAGTAAAAAAGAATTCAGCCAAATTTAAATATTCATTTAATGCCTAAGTTTTGTCTGGGTATTAGTATTTAGAATTCTCTTCAGCGTTCTATAATCTCTTTTTTAAATCCAACAAGAATTCTTCATCTTAATTAATATATTTCTGATGAACTAATAAATACTATGCAAAAAATACTTCTATGATTTGAAAAATGCTCCTCTAATGAAATTCCTGAAGGCTAATAAAATAATTTTGGGACAGTTTCATTAGTCACATAAAAAAAATCAGCATATGATTACACATAACCATTTTCTTAAAACTTAACTAAGAATAATTACATAATATTTCAGCAGCAATAGATTCTTTGTTAATTTTTCCTTAAAATTCTATTCTTTCTTCTGATTAAGGATTTTATTATTGCTAATCTAGAATAATTAAGTACTTTTTAAATTTTCTTTTAGGGATGCTTTTCAGTTGTAATCTATTTCTAAACTTAAGCATCTGCTAATCCCTTTGCCTTAATTGGCATTTTGATGGGTTCAAATTTTTTTTCCTTTTATTGCATTAATATATAATATTTAATGGATACTAAAGTTAGTGATTCTAAATCTCCATCGAAATCAATTAAACCTAATATATAGGATTATATATCTATAGGTTCTTTAGGAAGAGGAGCATACGGGGAGGTCATTTTGGCATAAAAAAAAACAGATAATTAATAGGTAGCAATAAAAGTGATTGATAAAAAATTCTTAACAAGAGTATTCATAATGCACAATTTTTTAGGAATAAAAATAATACTAAGTTTATATTGAAAGGGAAATGCTTTTATATTTAAAACATCCAGGGGTTGTGTAATTGTATTCTACTTTTTAAAAACCTGAAAAATTATATTTTGTTATGGAATATTTAGAAGGAGGTGATTTTGCTGACTTTTTAAAATTACATAAAGGTAAAGATTCAACTTAATTCTTTTAAGATTTAAGCTTTTAGACCTTATAATTTTATCTAGCATAAATAGTTGTAATCTTAGAGTATATTCATTCTAAAGGAGTAGCTCATAGAGATTTGAAACCAGAAAATTTAATGTTATCAAAGAATGGTCATTTAAAATTGATTGACTTTGGTACTTCAGTGGTTGTTCATGAAAATAAAGTACCTGTTGAATTTTTGTAGAAATACAAATAAATTAAATCTTCTTTTTAGATATAAGAAGGATCTTTCATTAATAGAGCTTCTTTTGTTGGAACAGCTGAATATGTTTCACCAGAAATGCTAGAAGAAGAACCTTGTGAATATGCTGTAGATTTATGGGCTTTGGGGATCATATGTTATAAAATGTTTACAGGAGTAACACCATTTATTGATAGTACATAATACTTAGTATTTTAAAATGTGAAAAATGCTTAAGTAAAAATACCTGAAAATGTACCTAAAGTGGCTGCTAATTTAATATAAAAAATTTTAGTTAGAAATCCTTAAGAAAGATTAGGAAGTTAATCGATGGCTGATCTTAAATCACATCCTTTCTTTAAAGGAATTGAATGGGATAAATTATTTCAAATGTAAGCTCCATAACCAAAGGTTGTATCTGTTAAATCTGTTGAAAAATCCATTGATCCAGATTTATAATTGGGAGGGAAAAGAAAGTCAAAGCTCAAATTTTATGGAGTGGTATAATTTAAAATTGGGTGGTTTATTTATAGACCATTAGATTTAGTTTTAATAGAAGGTAAAGAATATATGAAGTTGGCATTATTTGATCCAGAAACTGAAAAGTGTTAATTGAAGATTCGTTTAGTGGAAGGAGTTTAAGTTTATAGTCCAAGCAAAGGCTACATGGAAATTAAGGATTAGAATAAAAAATACTCAATAAAAGAGGTTGAACATCCAATTGATAAGTGGTTAGAAGTTATAGAAAAGTGTAGAAAAAATTTGATTAAAAAAAAATAAAAAAAACAAGAAAAAAAATAATGATATGTTACTTATAATTCATATTTTAATTATTTGAAAATTTGATGTCTGAAGAATAAAATAAAACTCCTAGAGATCTCAAAATAGATGATACCAGTTTTACTAACAGAAAAGACACAACAGCAGATATCAGATACTCTTAAAAAAGTTTCATTCATCCATAATAAATATATGTAGATATTAATATTATTATTATTAGTAAGTTTAACAATGTAATCATCCTGTTTAACCTATATTTATCTAAGTAATTACAAGAGAAGAAATTGAAACTCCATTTATAAATGAAATCGAAATGTTAAAAAATAAAATTATCAAAATCCAATAAGAAAATGATAAATTATATGAAAAAATTCATTAATTAACAGAATAATTATAAGATAGATAAAACTTCATTGACACCTATAAATAAAAATTTATAGATCTTTAAAATTCTAAAGATATATTACTATCAGAGTTAGAAAAATTGAATTCATAAAAATACCCAATTATTAATTACACTACACCAGTTCAACCAAAATATATGTTTCAATAAAATTAGCTAAGCGATAGGACTAATAATAATTTAAATTTGGAAATTGAAATCGATAAACTAAGAATTGCTTTGAGTAATAAGGAAGAAGAGATAAGAAGGCTTTAAGAAAAATATTAATAATTAGAGAATTAGGGTTTAGCTGTATTGGAGGAGAAAATAAGAACATTAATAAATGAAAAAGAATTTTGGAAATAAAAATTTGAAGAAACTTAAAAAGTTCGTTAATATAGTAATTTCAAATTTGCTTGATATGGCCAAATATGATTAAAATTTATATTTTAACATTTTTTTACTTTGTATTAATTGTTTTTATACTTTATCACAATTTCATTCCACTGTTAATCAAATTAGATTATGATTATTATTAAATTATATTTATTATTATATTTCATAAATTTTAAATAAGAAAAACTTTAAGATATTATAGNTCAAATTTTATGGAGTGGTATAATTTAAAATTGGGTGGTTTATTTATAGACCATTAGATTTAGTTTTAATAGAAGGTAAAGAATATATGAAGTTGGCATTATTTGATCCAGAAACTGAAAAGTGTTAATTGAAGATTCGTTTAGTGGAAGGAGTTTAAGTTTATAGTCCAAGCAAAGGCTACATGGAAATTAAGGATTAGAATAAAAAATACTCAATAAAAGAGGTTGAACATCCAATTGATAAGTGGTTAGAAGTTATAGAAAAGTGTAGAAAAAATTTGATTAAAAAAAAATAAAAAAAACAAGAAAAAAAATAATGATATGTTACTTATAATTCATATTTTAATTATTTGAAAATTTGATGTCTGAAGAATAAAATAAAACTCCTAGAGATCTCAAAATAGATGATACCAGTTTTACTAACAGAAAAGACACAACAGCAGATATCAGATACTCTTAAAAAAGTTTCATTCATCCATAATAAATATATGTAGATATTAATATTATTATTATTAGTAAGTTTAACAATGTAATCATCCTGTTTAACCTATATTTATCTAAGTAATTACAAGAGAAGAAATTGAAACTCCATTTATAAATGAAATCGAAATGTTAAAAAATAAAATTATCAAAATCCAATAAGAAAATGATAAATTATATGAAAAAATTCATTAATTAACAGAATAATTATAAGATAGATAAAACTTCATTGACACCTATAAATAAAAATTTATAGATCTTTAAAATTCTAAAGATATATTACTATCAGAGTTAGAAAAATTGAATTCATAAAAATACCCAATTATTAATTACACTACACCAGTTCAACCAAAATATATGTTTCAATAAAATTAGCTAAGCGATAGGACTAATAATAATTTAAATTTGGAAATTGAAATCGATAAACTAAGAATTGCTTTGAGTAATAAGGAAGAAGAGATAAGAAGGCTTTAAGAAAAATATTAATAATTAGAGAATTAGGGTTTAGCTGTATTGGAGGAGAAAATAAGAACATTAATAAATGAAAAAGAATTTTGGAAATAAAAATTTGAAGAAACTTAAAAAGTTCGTTAATATAGTAATTTCAAATTTGCTTGATATGGCCAAATATGATTAAAATTTATATTTTAACATTTTTTTACTTTGTATTAATTGTTTTTATACTTTATCACAATTTCATTCCACTGTTAATCAAATTAGATTATGATTATTATTAAATTATATTTATTATTATATTTCATAAATTTTAAATAAGAAAAACTTTAAGATATTATAGTTGATATATTATATATATACTTGATGGACTTTAATTATATCAAAAATATATTAGTAATTGTAGAATTTAATTACAAGATTATAAAGTATTTTTATTTATACAAAATTGTTCATATTTTTCAAATTCATTAAACCAAGCTATTATAAATTTATTCGTAGGCTATTTATTATTATTTTGATCTTTGATTAGAAGAGAGCACTAGGCAAAGTGCTTCTGTTGCAGATCTATGATTTTTTTCCTCAATTAATGATTAAATTTTTCTAAATGAGCTTAAAGCTGACTAAGAATAACTTATATATAACCTCGTCAGATTGATATGATACATCATTAATGAGTCGAGTAATTAATTCTGATAAAAACAATTCAACATCTTTATCATCATTGTTTTCTTTATTATCCAATGCTTTTCTAAGATGCAAAGGAGCTATTCGAGCCTATTTTTTGTCATTTTACCCATGAGCATATGGACAATCAGTACCATTTTTACAAAACCCTTATTAATCATATTTACATAACACAGCTTGAATTATTAACAGGATTTACTTTTATAATTTGTGATAACTATATTGCTATCGAGAGTAGGTATATGAATTGGGATTGGATCTATAATAAATCTATAAATTACCATCTGGATTTCTTAACTCATCTACACCATGAGCAAACTAGCATTTGGTACCAATAGAACAATTTCCATATTCATAATGCCTACAAATAGAAGTCTTGTATAGACGTCCATTTCCATGTTGAGGGATTGTAATAATTGAGTGGTGCATTAAATAAATTTATTATGGATTTAATTTAGTTATCATCAATGATATTAAATACACTCTTATATGCAACATAGTATGTGATGAGCAAATATATCTATAGAATATAGAAACAGAGTAATAGATTAATATAAGTAAGAATTATCGACAAATGATAAATAATTGGCTAAAGCATTCCGATATTAGAGAAGGAAAATAAAAATTATTATAATGGGTTTGCCAACTTTATTATGCTTTGTTCAAAATTATTACAATTTATGCTTGAGTTACACATAGTCAGAAAAATTGAATATTTTTGAGTGTTTAAAAAAATTTGATACTGAAAAAATAGGTATGGGAATATTGACTTCTTTTTATATGACTCTTTTATTATACATTGGTCCAGTTTATTAAGAATTTTGGGTAAGAAAAAACACATTATATATAGAATGGTAATTTGAGGGAGAAATTTAGTAAAATTAGGTTCAACAAATTTAGATGGGATTACTTTACAAAGATCGTTATTGTAATATTATTTCTTTAAACATTATAAGACTCCATTAATTGATGAAATTATATTTAGAGAACTTGTGAATAATGCTATAAATGTTAGATATTAAAATAACATCTAGTTCATCATTTATTCAACATTGTTATATAGTTTAAGTAAATAAAAAATACTATCTAATTAGCAAAAGCATTGTCTTATTAATTAAAATATGGGTAACTATCACGTTATGAATTTCTAAAAACATTTGTATTGGGATTGTACTTGTCTTTTGTCTTAGTATAAACAAAAACAATAGTGACAGTAATAATCAATCATGGGCTTATGAATTTTATGGGAAGACCGAACTTTAAGGATTTAGTTAAAGGAAAATATAGCAATGAATAAAGATAAAGTATAAAAGAATTTACTATTATAAGAGATGATACGGTTTTATGTCCTTGGTTTCGTAGCTTTTCTAATTTTTTGTGTTTTAGTTTTGTGATTTTATTTATTAATGGATTAATATAAAATAGTGAAAAGATTGGGAGATGGAACTTATGGGTGCGTCTACAAGGCAACAAATATCAACACGGGATAGATTGTTGCTATAAAAAAGTTCAAAAAAAAATATACTTCTTGGGACGAATGTATAAACCTTAGAGAAGTAAAAGCATTATAAAAATTAAAACATCCTAATATCATCAAATTAGTTGAAGTATTCAAAGAAAAGGATGAGTTGAATTTAGTTTTCGAATTTTTAGATAAGGATATTTATCAACAATATTTAGAAAATCAAAATAATGGAAGACATTTGTCTGAAGATAAGATTAGGTCTGTAATAAAATAAGTAACTGAAGGTTTGGCATATATGCACAAAGTAGGATATTTTCATAGGTAATTAATATAAGTATTGTAGAGATTTAAAACCAGAAAATCTATTAGTATCAGGGGAAACAGTTAAAATATGTGATTTTGGATTAGCAAGAGAGATCAGATCAAAACCTCCATATACTGATTATGTTGCTACAAGGTGATGAATATTTATAATATTTCAGATGGTATAGAGCACCAGAAATCCTACTGAAATCTCAATATTATAACTCACCAGTTGATATATTTGCATTAGGATGTATAATGGCAGAACTATACACCCTTAAACCTTTATTTAATGGAAGTTCAGAGTTAGATCAGCTTTTTAAGCTTTGTTAAACATTAGGTACACCAAATGTTCGAGATGTATTTATTAACATGAATATTATAAGTGGCCCGAATCATAAAAATTAGCAAATGCTGCTAATATTACTTTCCCAACATATAGTCCTGTTTAGTTAGAAAAAATCATCCCAAATGCTTCATCAGAAGCTATTGATCTTATCAGAGATATGTTAAAGTATGATCCTTAGAAAAGGCCTTCTGCTAAATAAATTTTGGAATATCCATATTTTACAAATCATTGCTTTCCTATGATATAATAAATTGAGAATAAATAGGAATTTCCAAAAATTGACAGAATAGAAAGACATGAAAAACAAGAAGACATATTTGAATTACCTAAAGTCAATAATAAGGAAAATAGAAATAAAATGAATGAATCTAATTCAAACTTTCTAGACCTTTTGGAATAAAAGATAGCTGACTATGAGAGACCAGCAAAAAAGGAAGTCTCAATACATAAAAGTAGTGTAAAGGAACATAAAGAGTATCAACCATAAAAAGATTATAGAGAATCTAATCTACCTATAATCCAAAATAATCAAAATAAAGATTACTTGATGTCTAAGGATTTCAATTAAATTGATAATCTAGATCCTAGAATTGATTCTAGAAATAAAAAAGGTTAGGCAGGATTGAAATTCTTAAGGCATAATGATCCTATTGGAGAGTAACTTAGAAATCAATAATAATTGAGTATTTAATAATCAAGATCGTATGAACCGACGAAAAGAAATATTTATGATTTTAATCTCATATAAATGCCAATAGCTAAACCTACTTTTCAACCTAAACTGGAAATGCCTAAATAGAATAAAAATTAGATCCTTGGATAAAATTATCCAAAATCATTGCCTATTGCCCCAAATATGGGATATAAGTATCAACAATAATAACAATATAAATTCGATGATATCTTATATGGTAAGCCTCCACTTAAATAGTATTATTGATACTTATTCAAATCTACATCTATATATATATATATACAAAATAATTATTCAAACATGTATAAAATATCTTCCTATTGCAGTTAAGAACCTCTATTTATAATCATTAGGATTGATAATAGTAGGGACCTTATAAAAATTATCATTTTAATACTTTTCCACCTTTGAGCACAAATTTCAAAAGTCTCTCAGTTTCTTTGTCCCAAGTGTAAAATCTTAAATAATCAATAATGCCCATTTTTATTTTTTTTTGATTGTTGTTAATGATTAATAAAAGTGAATAATCAACAATTTATTTCCTTAACAAAAATTTACAATCACTCTATCACTTTAATAAATAAAAATACCTAAAATGCTTTATCATTATAAATATAACAATCATTTTACAGAATAATCGGTTCAGCATTTCTATCTATAATAAAATTAGTATCTAACAACACCTTATTTACTTTCTTCTCCCATCTATTTGTTTCGCTTCCTTTTAAATCATAAACCAGTAAATCTTTTTAATTGCCTATACCATAATATAAGTTTTCCATAATTAAATAAAACTCAGGATTACCTTTGTCTCTTATCTCATACATTCCAAATATTTTACAGAGCAATGATGGTTTTTAAGATTCATAAAAATGTCTATGCATTTGTCTAAAATAATCTAAAGCAAATTATTCAAACATCCTAAACTCCTTTTCGTCATCAAATTTCTTCACAACAAATAATTCATTATCAGATTTGAAAAATTTAGATGATGACTTACCGCCGCTTGCATTCCATGATCCAGTTACACTAAGAGATTTAATAAACAAATTTAATGTAATCCCAAAGGATGCTCTTAGAGCTTCAAATTAAATAGGAAAATATATTAATATTTCTTAAGTTTTTGACTTTTTGACTGAAAATTATTAATTTCCCAAACCACTAGCTATTGATTATTAAGAAGATATTGTTTTTTCCTCATCAAAAAATTAATCTCTACTCATTGATGGTTTCAAACCCTTTACTTTATCATACTATAATGTGATTGTAATGTAGTTCTTTTCTTTTTTTTAAGGTGTAGATTACTGTTAATTATTATTCAAATTAGTATCTGTTGTTGTTGATAAAGATTCTCTTAGGAGACTTTAATCCTCTTATTCCCATTTTCCTGATTATTAGCCAGATTTTATTAACATAAGTTTACTCAGAATTACTTTTTATTATTCCAAATCAGCCTTTTAAAAATCTAGCTTAATTTATACTCATACTTTCATAATAGTTAATTGCTTTGAGATATTTTGGATGATTTAAAGCAAATGCTAAGGAAGATAACGGTTGACTTTCAAAAATGGCTACAAAAGGAATAATTTTTCTATCACATAATGCTACCTTATTCTGTTCATCTTAAAATACACATAAAGGCCACTCTTTTAATAAATTATTTAATGGATTCTATTGTTTATCTGCAATAAATGAATGATTGCCATCTAATTCTCTTACAGATTGTTGAAAATTAAGAATTTTGTTGTTAGAATTTTTCTTAGATTTACAATCAGTTGAGGACTTTATTTCACAGAATTAATCACTTTAATGCTCTATATCTTCTGCAACTACACTATCAGAATGAAAGATATCGCAATCTTATCCGGATAGGTGTCCTTTATTTATGGGAGATTGATGATCTAGCTCTTTTTAGCTTTTAATCATTGAATTTTTATTAAAAAACTTTTTCATTTCCATTTTTACTTATTCCCCAATTTCTTACAATTAAATACTCAACGTATAAGTAAATTATTGTAAATCAGATATTTAATTTATTCCGAAGAATTTCTATTACCAAAACTTTTCATCTTAATATTATTCAATTCCATCTACTTCAACATTTTTAGATAGATTTTTCTTGAATTATGTCAATTAAAAAATGATATTCAGATATCTTTAATAAAGTTCTTTTTTTTAGGTTTAAATATAATCATCTTCCCACTTTTTTAAACTATCAAGTAATTCTTAACTTAAAGTATTTTATATTATTGTAGTAAATACTTCAACATCTCCAACTTAAATCTTCACCATTGATTCATCATAAGTAAATATTCTCTACAATTAATGATTACAATTATTTATTTGGCCTGTTTGTTTATCATTTGTGTTTTGTTGAGTCATCAATATAGTTTACATAAATCTAAAAAAGGAAAAATCTAAATTTAAACTAGACAATTTAACAATATTCGAACTTAGATCGCATTTGCTACATTAAATATAAGTTTCTATTCTTATCTTTTTTTTTTCTCCTTTCTAATTTGAATGTGATTACTAAACAATTTTAGTGATATCCTTTGCAGTATAAACATTATCTCTTGGTTCATCCTCATTTGACAATTGGGAAAACTATTATGAGACTTAATTTTATAATTAAGGAGGCTCATTAGTCGATATAATTCTCCCACTTCTATTTTTCTAATCAACACTTATTTTAATATATTTATCTCCACAATAATAAAATGAAACATGAGCTATTTTAGGTAGATGACAGATTTCACATTTTGTATCTTTATTAGCTATTTTCAAGATTATAAATTAGCCTAAACAAACATCCTCCCCATGATAATATACAGATTTTTTCTCTTATGGCTTGTTGCACATACGAGCCATTGAAAACTCTTCTAATTTATCTCTTTAAGAAGGATGTTTTGATTTATATTCCTCTAAACTAGAAAAATCTTTTATATCATTAAAATTGTTAACATCAGCAATAACATAATTGATTTTAATGTATTTTAATTCTATATTGAATAATTCTTTTAAAGGAAGCTTTTCAAATAAAAATGTTGTAAAATTACCTTAATTAGAAATAGTTTTTAATTGATTGTTCTTAAACATTGAACATTCAGTAGTTATGAAGTGAGATTCAAGATCTTAATGTTTGCCTAGTCTAGCACATCCAATAAAACATTATTTTACTTTTGATAACAAATCTTCTGAAGGGCCGCTTATTGTTATTGTAGCAAATTTTTAACAAGTTGAAGTTTTCAAAAAACATAAAGTAGAATCCTTTTGAATTTCAGCTTTTTCTTAAAGAACTTTAGGAAATTATTTAAAAAAGACTTTTTCACATCGACCTACTATTTATTCCTTTCTTTCAATGCATTGTTTTAATATAGATAAACTGATGTATTTAGCATTTGTACACAATTTAACTCTTTAAAGAACTTTCCTTTTCACATTAGTCAAAACAGTTATTTTCTTCTTGAGACATTCATCCAAAGCAATTTTATTAGCTCCTTTTTCAACTAAAATCAAGTTTGGTTCATAATTCTTATAAATTTAATTAATAGAATCAACTAAAATTTTTTTTTCATTTTAGATATAATCTTCTAATTAATTTTATGAACCTTCCATATCAAAATCTCCAATAATAATAATGATGGCTGGTTTATTAATTTCATATTACATTTATTTTAATGCAACGTTTTTACGAAAAATTACTCCAGGAAAAAAACTGGTTAATTGTTCATCATGATGATTAATAATTTTTATCTTCATAAAATGATTAATATCCATAAGTTTAGTGTTTACAGAGTGAAATTAAATTTCCTAAACACACTGAGTTATCAAGACTTTCATTTTCTACTTCCAAAATTCAATAACTTTTTCATAAGTTTTATTTGGTTAAAGAACATTCTGTAAAATATATTCGCACATTTTTTCTAATTAATAACCACTTTTTTCTTATAATATTGGTAATTAATCTTTAGCAATATCAGACTCTTCAAAAAATTCGGATATATCTTCCTTCTCTTAATTTATTTCTAAGAGTGTGTCATCCTCTTCCTAAATTTATTAAACTTCATTTTCTTTCGCGATTATGCTTTTAGATGAAGTAAATGTGGTTACACTTTCAAATTATTTTGAAGTATTTCTCGAATGGGAATTTCCATCTTTTTATATTGTCGCCTTCAAAGTAGACTCTTCATTATCTACAAAGAAACCTTTTTCAGCAATCAATTAGCTAATTTTATCGTAACAACGCCTGCAAAATCGAATTTTTTTCTCACCTTCGTTAGGAGGCCCATCAAAAAAGTGGTTTGAACAACTAGATGGTTAAATCTATTTACTCTTAACAAAAAATATATCCACATCTTCTGCAATGGTGTTTACGTCTAAATAAGGCATTAAATTTATTATCACACATTCCACATTAACTAATTTCTTGATCTTCCTTCCATTTTTTTTTTGAAATTAATTCATTCTTGATTATATCAAATCTAGAAGCCTATTTCATATAATTATTATTATAATGAAGGAAAATTTTATATTATTTCGAAAGAAATTGGTTTCAGGGGAATTAAATAGCAAGAGAATTAATTATATACTAATGAAACATTCTTCTAATCCTATCCATACAAAAAAGAATGGCTAGTCTTTCAAAAATAATGTTATATATAGGAGATATATTAGATATTATAACTTCATTAATTTTTATCCTTCATATTATCATCTTTTATGCTTTTAGAGATAACTGCTGTTAATTAAAATTATAATGAATTAATGGTTTATGTTTTCTTCAAATGTTCTAATTAACAACTAAACCTTTAAAAATTTACAAATCGATGTTATGTAATTTTAATTTTTGGTCATATTCTTGGAAAAATCACTATTTTTTTTGCCCTTTATTTTTCATACTAATCTAATTTTCATCTTTGATTATTTTTCCATTTAATGATAAAATAGGTTTATATTTTTCCTTCTCCTTTAATCTTTTTTTTTACTTATTATATATTTATAAAGAATAACATTACAATCTTCATAATAAAATAATTAATCAAATTCTCATTAATTATTCAGCTTCGTCCACTTCTTGTGTTATATGATTTGCTTTTATTTGAATCGAGTGAATTTTTTGTTAAAGGCAAAGTATTACTCATAGTATTGAAATTTGTTTAAACAAAACCTTATTGGTTATTATTAAGGATATTCGAAAATGGGTTAGAATTTGTAAAGTTATTAAAAATATTTGGATTTGTCAAAAAATTTTAATTTTGAATATTAAAAGGTTTCTGCAAATTGTTGTATTATGGTTGAATTATGCTCTCATCTACTTGCTAGAATAATTTTGTAAAGTCTAAGTTGAATTTTTATTCAATTTATTTTTGGTTATCTTAGAGAGAATTTATTTTCACCTCCTTTTATTTTTATTCTTCTAATAATCTTTTTTTTTATTTATCTACAATTGGATCAATTAGAGGGATTTCTGATAGTTAAGGCTCGATTTGTTTAAGCTAAAGCGTTTATAATTTGATGTCATACACCTGTTTATAATAAAATATACATAATGTGATCTTTGTTCTTTTATTTCTTTAAAATAAAATGATTTGCTTTTTGAAATTATACCAACATTTTTACTAAAAGAAAAAAATGATTTAAACTCTGCTGTGTCATTATTTTTAATTAACTTTTATTGGTTTGAATAAATTTGATTGATGAAGTGCTTTTAAGATTCCAATGAAATTTAAATGTTTTATTCAAAAAACCTTAAATTTTTATTTTTTCCATAAACAAATTATATTGAGGAATATTATAAACTTTATGAAAAACTGAAGATGCTTAAAGTTTATAGAATTGTCATGATACCCTTCATTTATTCAGATGAATCAGATTAATGAATTTGAAAATGGCTCACTACAGATTTTATTTTGTTTTAAACTTTATAATTCGATTCTTGAACACTTTCATTATCAAATAAAGTTTATCTCTTGATACTTGATAAAGGGTCTGTGACATTATCACATAAATCCTAAAAACTTCCATGATCACCATCTATTCGACTAATTTCTTAAGAGTTCCCAAATATTTTTGGATTTGTTTCCCTTATATTATCATTGCTTTAATCATGGTTGGGATAATTTTCCAAAGCTTAATTAAAAGAGTAAGCTCTCTCAAGTTTTCCAATTCCTGTATCGAATTAATCAGCTTTATTATAAATTTTTTGACCAAGTTAATTTGGTAATGTTCTTTCAAAATTTTTCATAGTTAAATTCAAATTAAATTAAAAATAATGTAAAATATATATTGCTTCTTTATAGATCATTCAAAAAATATGCCAACTAGAACCCAAAAATAGTAAAAATACAGAAAAATTAGAGTAATAAAGACTTTAATTCGATCTTAAAAATTATTTCACTTCTCAAGCATTAATTTCCAACTTTTCTTGATAAATTTTGATAACATGAAGAATAGTTCTATATCTTAACTTAGTCTTTGTAATCAAATTAATTTTGTTTTTGATTATTTTATATCTCACTTATTTACAAACTATTCAGATTTCCCCTAATATCTTAATATACTTACTATATATTTTAAGAATGTTTTTATTTAATGAAAAAGATCTTTGCATTTATTTTTATTTATTCATTAAATCTATTTTATACTTCCATAACTATCAATAATATTCTTAATTATGTATTATTTTCTTGTTAGTCATTTTTATTAGAGCTTGTCTCGTTTTTTCAAACAATATATATATATTATTAGATTATTCAATCAATTCATATTTTCGATGAGATATTATTTATGAATGCCATTATTATTGATGACACATAAGTTTATTTTGACAATAATTATTCAATTTTCATATATAGGTGTTGTAATCCTTAACTTGTAATTTCTATGTAATGCATAATCATTGAAATTAAATACTCAAAGATATACACTTAATAATTAAATGACATTAATTTAGAAAAGATTAGACATCAAGATTTTTTTTATATCAAATTTTCGATTCAAATTTTATAAAAGGATTAAAGTTCCAGTAATTTGGACCAAAAGTCAGTATTAGAGTGTCTGTTTTAATAATATCAAGATTGTATGAGGAAAATTAATCAATTTATAGATTAAGTCAAAATAGAAAATGAAAAATAAATGGTAGATGATTTGAAAAATAAAGAAAAAAGAATAAAGAACCAAAAATATTTTGGGTAAATGAAGTAAACAAAATTGTAATTTAAAATTATTTTAAACCTAATGAGTGTCTGAGATTGTAGGCAATAAACAAAAGAAATTAATCATATATATGTATGAATTTAAGAAAATTGATTTTTTATAGGTAAATAATTACAACATTGTATTGATATTTTTTACTATTTTCTTGTATTTATCTTTAACTTTCAAGATTGCAGACTGTTGGGGTTAAGGAATCACCTATAGTTAAAATGATTACTCGTTCTATTTAGAAAAAGGTAAATCTCATTTTAGATATCTTTAGTGTAAGCTTTAATAATGTATTTAAATTTCAATTCATTTAGAATATTTAGAAGAATATTAAGAAATATGGGAATGTTTAAATTTAGGGCTCAAACATAATAAATATCAATTGCTTTATATTGAAAAAAAGGTAATCTTTAAATGTATATGATTAGGAGAAATTTTAGAAAAAATGGGAAAAGATCAAGAAATAATAGATAATTATGATCAAGCTATTTCAATAATGGTACACCCTGGTATTTATGAGGAAAAAGGTACTAAAATTATTAATAATTTAATCTATTGCTTTAGAGAAAATTATATGAAGTATTTAATATAACTAAATAATAAAAATGGAAAGAAGTAATATAATTTTGCAACTGTGATAAATAAAAGTTAAGTAACTATTTTTTTTAGTCAAGATATAAAGTAACAAATGATTATATTATTTAATAGTTTAAGCTTTATAAGAAATAAATGAATAAGATTAACTCATTAAATTATGTAATTAATTCATACATAAAAATGATATGTATATCTATAAATTCAAAGGTTAATATAATATTTAGAATTTCGCCTAAGCATTATTGAAATATGTTCTATGATATTAAAATATTTAAATTAGGGTTGTAGGAATAAGTTATTGAATCATGGGATGAAGCTATAATAAAAATGAGAAAGTACAAGAATTTTATGTTGAAAAAAGTATTTTAGATGGAACTATTTTTAGTTAAAGCTTTAAATGATTAAAATAGATATCAAGAGGCTATTCAAAATTGAAATATTGTAATCAATTTGTAATTAGATAATTAAATAGAAATATAAAATTGGAAAAGTATCAAATAGCCTTTTTCTATTTAGTGAATATCTTAGAAAAATAAAGTAATATTAGAGAAGCTCTAAAGATATCTAGAATTAATGGAACAATTAGAAAAATATATTAAAAACAAATTTGATATCAAAATAAACAGCTGCCACTTTATTAAAGTGTTTCAAATAAATATTTAAAAATTTTATATTACGAAAAGAATAGATTATTTTTTTAATTATAAAAAATTTTTTGATTAATATTCTTATCTTTAAATAATTATTTCTATACATTAATAATTTTATAAATAATATTTTTCATCATCTCCTTTCATTGATTTTTCATAAGAGTCTGTTTTATTTATGTTTGATTTTTTTAAGTTATACTAATTGGGAAATAAGTTTCCCTACTCGAAACTTAAATATGCTGAATAACTCATTTAATAGAAATATAAATATTGGAAGAGAAAATAATTATGATATATGGGTATCTGCTTTTTTATGAGAAAATTTGATTCGAATAGTAAATAGGGTCATCGCAGAAATAGATAATTAAACTATGATGATGTATGTAAAATGTTAGGGGAGAATTAGCATTTTTATACTTTGATTATTAACTTATTAAATTGACACCTAGAAATTGGTAAAAGATAATATCTATTAGNGAAAAAATGGGAAAAGATCAAGAAATAATAGATAATTATGATCAAGCTATTTCAATAATGGTACACCCTGGTATTTATGAGGAAAAAGGTACTAAAATTATTAATAATTTAATCTATTGCTTTAGAGAAAATTATATGAAGTATTTAATATAACTAAATAATAAAAATGGAAAGAAGTAATATAATTTTGCAACTGTGATAAATAAAAGTTAAGTAACTATTTTTTTTAGTCAAGATATAAAGTAACAAATGATTATATTATTTAATAGTTTAAGCTTTATAAGAAATAAATGAATAAGATTAACTCATTAAATTATGTAATTAATTCATACATAAAAATGATATGTATATCTATAAATTCAAAGGTTAATATAATATTTAGAATTTCGCCTAAGCATTATTGAAATATGTTCTATGATATTAAAATATTTAAATTAGGGTTGTAGGAATAAGTTATTGAATCATGGGATGAAGCTATAATAAAAATGAGAAAGTACAAGAATTTTATGTTGAAAAAAGTATTTTAGATGGAACTATTTTTAGTTAAAGCTTTAAATGATTAAAATAGATATCAAGAGGCTATTCAAAATTGAAATATTGTAATCAATTTGTAATTAGATAATTAAATAGAAATATAAAATTGGAAAAGTATCAAATAGCCTTTTTCTATTTAGTGAATATCTTAGAAAAATAAAGTAATATTAGAGAAGCTCTAAAGATATCTAGAATTAATGGAACAATTAGAAAAATATATTAAAAACAAATTTGATATCAAAATAAACAGCTGCCACTTTATTAAAGTGTTTCAAATAAATATTTAAAAATTTTATATTACGAAAAGAATAGATTATTTTTTTAATTATAAAAAATTTTTTGATTAATATTCTTATCTTTAAATAATTATTTCTATACATTAATAATTTTATAAATAATATTTTTCATCATCTCCTTTCATTGATTTTTCATAAGAGTCTGTTTTATTTATGTTTGATTTTTTTAAGTTATACTAATTGGGAAATAAGTTTCCCTACTCGAAACTTAAATATGCTGAATAACTCATTTAATAGAAATATAAATATTGGAAGAGAAAATAATTATGATATATGGGTATCTGCTTTTTTATGAGAAAATTTGATTCGAATAGTAAATAGGGTCATCGCAGAAATAGATAATTAAACTATGATGATGTATGTAAAATGTTAGGGGAGAATTAGCATTTTTATACTTTGATTATTAACTTATTAAATTGACACCTAGAAATTGGTAAAAGATAATATCTATTAGAACCAAAAGTAAATTCTGATTTTCTCTAAGCTTAACTTTCAAATAAAATTAAGGAACCCTTGTAAAATTAAATTGAAATTTTGATGAAATAAAGTTTAAGAGCTAAAGAAATTCATTTTTATGTTAGCCTGGTTATTAAGATGATGATATAAATCTAAAATGTCTAACAATATGTTGTAGATTAAATCATCGTTGATGAAGAAGATTGTGATGATGGTAATCATGATTCATTGATAGAAGTCATTAATGTTAATTTAAATGTTAAGGTGAATGTTGAATTTGTTTCAAAGGTAAACATTATCAATGCAAAGATACTTATTAATTAATTGAGGCAATTCATACATTCATATCAATTTTTGGTGATTTAGTAGTAATTAAAAATGAATAAGGAGGCAATGATAATGCTAATAAATTTTGAAGAATCTCATCTTTTTTAATTCTAATGTTACAATCATTTTATCCATTTAAGTTTAGGGATTTCTTATAAATGTATGAAATAAATGCATGGTATTTAACAGCTACTAAATGAGTATTGAATGTGTAAATGGAAGAGTTGCTAAAGGATGATTCAAATTAATATCCTTTAGATTTGTGCAATTTGTGAGAATGATCAAAGCATTATTTACTATGTTAAAATGAAGAATGCCTACAATGTGAGAAATGATTCTAATATGATTAATAAAGTAAACAATGGATTCTAATTTTTGGCAACAATATAATTTTAGGGAATGAATAATTTGAAGATTAGATGATATATAATTTATAAATTTTTAAGGATTGCTAGTTTAAGTGTCATCATAATTTTACTAAATGTAATTATAATCTGGATATGAATGTCTGTTTTGCAATAAGGGGATCTGTGAAGTTTATTAGATAGAATATTTATTAGATTTTTAAGCATATTAACTAATTTGTGGAGATTTAAAAATAGTTGAACCTGATTTATGTGATAATGGAAATTTAATAAATTATGATGGATGACATGAATGAATCTAATCTTGTGAATTTGCATGTATTATATGCTAATCTGGAAACCAAATGAAAATAATAATAATGATTAAACAACTGCTGATTGAATTCCAGATTGCAATCTTTGTCGTAATGAGAATTAATTTTTAGCTTAGAATGAGTGCTTTCAAATGATTAATAATTTATGTGCACCTATTTGTGGAGATATTATTAAAATAAATTAAAATAGGGATGCTAGAATTTTGAATTTTAATGTTTTAAGGTTTATGTGTGATGATAAATTTTACATTTTGGATAACTAAACTTAAAAATTTGTATAAATAAACTCTGATTAAAATCATTAAAAAATTGATTATCCAATTACAGATTTTCAGTAATATACTTCTTTAAGATGTGAGAAAATCAATCGCTAATTAATAATTTATGTATTACTTAATGTGGTATGGACTTCTAGTCAATAAATATGAAGAGTGTGATGATGGAAATATTTTTGGACTAGATGGATGTTCTTCATTTTTTAGTATGAGGATTCGTATCAATATATAGATTAGAAAGAGTCATTAAGATTATTCACATATATTGAAGCTCTTCAATATTTTATCTGATAAAGCCAGTTCAATATAATGATTAGAACTAACTTTCTTATGTTAAAATAAAGGCAGAACTAGTTATTGAAGATAATATATATTTCGCAATTTCTCCTTAAGCTCAGGATTACTGAAAAACCAATAGCATTGATAATATTACAATTTACTTGAGCTATCTTATATATTAAATTTAAATCGAGAGAAAAATGAATTTTTTTTATATAATTAATTGTGCAAATATTACAAATAAGTTGAATTATGAACAAGTTATGTTAAAGAAAAAATTGTTTAACAACCTTAAGGATTTCAGGCAATTAAATCAAATAGAAGTTCCATATTTGATGTAGTGTAAAAAGTTTGAATTTTTTTTCATTTTACCTATAAATAATGGATTTTTTTTAATTTTTATGAATATAGACAATAGTAAAATTTATAAAATAAAAATGATGTTGAATTTAACTTTTTGTGATGCTCTTACTTTTATAGATATGGCATAGAGTCTCAATCCAAATAATGAGAAAGCATATTCTGAAAACAATAGTTTTTGCCTTATTATAGTTAATTTATTTTTATGTAACTTGCAAAAGTACTAAAATGTAACGATAAACCATTGAAAAATTAAAGGTATTTTTTACATGTAAAATATTAAATAGGCGCCATTTTACTAAAATATAAGAATTATGCAAATGCAATTTAATACTTCAACAATGCAATCCTTCTAAACCATTAGACGAAGCTCTAGAAAAACAATGGTTTAAACATTTAAGAATATTGGCTTTTACCCTGAAGATTAAAAAAAAAAATATAAATTATTAAAAAATCTTTCTTAACAAAGATCTTATTAAATAAAAGCTTAAATGTATTTTAAGTTCAAATATTAAGCTTACACATTTTACATATTTTTAAAGTGTTTTTTGTTACTGGTTTTAAAAAGAAAAAAGGAAGCACAATGATATTTTAATTAACCATTAAGAATATGAAAACTAACTTTAAAGTAGGAATCTATACTGTAATAATTAGTAAAATTATGAAATTATCATAAAATAATAAAAAAATCTATATATCTATTTCTTCAAATGAGAATAAGGTTGCTGAGTTGTTTATTCAACTTTTCTTCACTTTTGGTAATTATATTTCAAGCAAAATTCTTCAGGTAAAAAAGAAAAAAGATATAAAAATTACTTATAGGCAAATAACAAGGCGTTAACCAAGATGTGAACTTTAAGGAAGATAACGAGTAAGGAGAATAAAGTAGAAAGTCAAAATAATGATCATTTTGTCTTGAAAGTTTTAAAAATAAATAAGGTTTATAGGTTGATATGACAAGAAAGCTCAGGTAAGACAGACAAATATAATTAGGGGAGGTATAAATATCTCCATAGGTCTTTCAGGATTATCCCTAGAGAAAATTAAAAGATTATCATGACTTGTATGCTCTTGTATTTAAGAATTATCCAAAAAAAATGATTTGTTGTGACAGTTCTTTTTATAAATAAACCATTGCTGAATTAAGCGACTTATAAATAACTGAACAAAACAATTAAAATAATTTAATAGAATAAAAAGGAAATTTAGATTATCTTATATTTAAATTAACTCTAGAGGAATAAATGNTAATTAATTGTGCAAATATTACAAATAAGTTGAATTATGAACAAGTTATGTTAAAGAAAAAATTGTTTAACAACCTTAAGGATTTCAGGCAATTAAATCAAATAGAAGTTCCATATTTGATGTAAATAATGGATTTTTTTTAATTTTTATGAATATAGACAATAGTAAAATTTATAAAATAAAAATGATGTTGAATTTAACTTTTTGTGATGCTCTTACTTTTATAGATATGGCATAGAGTCTCAATCCAAATAATGAGAAAGCATATTCTGAAAACAATAGTTTTTGCCTTATTATAGTTAATTTATTTTTATGTAACTTGCAAAAGTACTAAAATGTAACGATAAACCATTGAAAAATTAAAGGTATTTTTTACATGTAAAATATTAAATAGGCGCCATTTTACTAAAATATAAGAATTATGCAAATGCAATTTAATACTTCAACAATGCAATCCTTCTAAACCATTAGACGAAGCTCTAGAAAAACAATGGTTTAAACATTTAAGAATATTGGCTTTTACCCTGAAGATTAAAAAAAAAAATATAAATTATTAAAAAATCTTTCTTAACAAAGATCTTATTAAATAAAAGCTTAAATGTATTTTAAGTTCAAATATTAAGCTTACACATTTTACATATTTTTAAAGTGTTTTTTGTTACTGGTTTTAAAAAGAAAAAAGGAAGCACAATGATATTTTAATTAACCATTAAGAATATGAAAACTAACTTTAAAGTAGGAATCTATACTGTAATAATTAGTAAAATTATGAAATTATCATAAAATAATAAAAAAATCTATATATCTATTTCTTCAAATGAGAATAAGGTTGCTGAGTTGTTTATTCAACTTTTCTTCACTTTTGGTAATTATATTTCAAGCAAAATTCTTCAGGTAAAAAAGAAAAAAGATATAAAAATTACTTATAGGCAAATAACAAGGCGTTAACCAAGATGTGAACTTTAAGGAAGATAACGAGTAAGGAGAATAAAGTAGAAAGTCAAAATAATGATCATTTTGTCTTGAAAGTTTTAAAAATAAATAAGGTTTATAGGTTGATATGACAAGAAAGCTCAGGTAAGACAGACAAATATAATTAGGGGAGGTATAAATATCTCCATAGGTCTTTCAGGATTATCCCTAGAGAAAATTAAAAGATTATCATGACTTGTATGCTCTTGTATTTAAGAATTATCCAAAAAAAATGATTTGTTGTGACAGTTCTTTTTATAAATAAACCATTGCTGAATTAAGCGACTTATAAATAACTGAACAAAACAATTAAAATAATTTAATAGAATAAAAAGGAAATTTAGATTATCTTATATTTAAATTAACTCTAGAGGAATAAATGATTGGCATGGAAAGAATAGATTTAGAATTAATAGAAAAGGAATTTGGAGAATTATTTATAGAAGAAACTGATCTCTTAACTCTTACTGGAAGAATTATCAAAATTATAAATGACTTTTCAATAGATTTTTCATTAAATATAATCAAGAATGAGAATCTTAATCAAAATTAATTGAATTTTGAGAGAGAAAAGTATGAGATGTTATTGTAATAATTAAGAAAAATTAACTACTACTAAGATAATTGTGAAGTAGTAGAATAACTTAAATTACTAATCAGCAAGATCTAAATCGTTGTAAATTTATTGAAAGCTTCTACTAACCAAGACCTAGAAGTTTTTCAAATGCCAATCATTGAAAGAGTAAATAATTTAAAAGAAAAGTTTGATGAATTTAAAACGAAATATGATAATAAGGAAAACAGAGATGATTAGAATACTGGGCAACTTCATTCAGTAAATAATCAAATAAATGTCCAAAATAGATTTGGCACAAATTTATCAATAATTATTAATATTCTATAATTATTGTTAATAAAAACAAGATTAGACAAGCAAAAGTTGGCATAATTTCTTTTGAATGTTAAACATTTTACTAATAACCTTAAAATTATATAAGAGTGTTATTTGTAGATGAGGAAAAGTTATACAAATTGTTTTTAAAAACATGTAAACCACTTTATGGAATCACAATTCATAAATTCTGATTTATAATAATTGGAAAAAGAATCAAATTAAGAATACTTTTCAAGAATATCAAACAGCATATTGAATAGTGAAAAATAAACAGAAAAAAATAATAGTTTGTCAGTAAATATTATTCTTTTTCTCAAGAAGTTAATGGTTGAAACAAAAGAAAAGTTAACAATATCTAAGTGGGAATTCTAGGAAATTTAATTTAATCAAGATTATTTAGTTCAATTAACTAACAAAATATACCTACAAGAAAACGATGAGGAATATGAAGTCAAATCAAATCAATAGGATTAATTCTCTATTGATTAATAAAAAAATGATGAATGGAAAATTAAATAGGGTTTAGTATTAACCATAATATAGATTTCATTAAATTGCTTTACAGAAATAATTACTCAATTTTGTTAAAAAACTCTCATTTAATTATGGGTTTTAGAAAAAGACTAAAGAGTTAGAAATTTATTGAAAAATAAACACTTAATAAGTTTATAGATGTAAAGTTTGTAGAAAGATTGGTAGACTTAACATGATAGAATTGCAGGAGAGATGTAAAAAATGCTGAAGAGGATTGATGAATTGTAAGAATAAATTACCCAGGAGGCAAATCTTAACAAAAGAGAGCTATAATTGAAAGAAATGGATGAAACAACTCAGCAATTAGATGAATACATTTAAAATATCAGCGAAATGGGTTAATAACTCAGATTGGTAACTGATTTTGTAAATCATATAAGAAAAGGTTTGTTAAGAGTTGAGGGAAAAATAAATCAAATAAAAGAGCAGCTCAACAACATGGGGAATGATATCAAATTTTTAAGAGAAAAATCGGTTATATAGTTGCTTGAAATTAGAAAATGGAAAGTGTTGAAGGAGGCAGCAGAAAAAAATGTTAAGTCCATCTATATACCATTAAAAACTTAAGAGAGAGGTAAAAATGAGATCAGTAATTTGATGAATTTAGATTAATTTGATGATAAAGATGGAGAAGTGAATGAGTTTTTGTCTGAAGAGAAAACAGTATTGCTAATTCATGGATTAGCTGGATCCGGCAAAAGTACTACAGCCAAAAAAATTGAAGAATTTATTTGGAAATTACATGATAGTAATAAAAAAATTGGGAATTATGTACTAATACCTGTTTATATTTCATTATCCTCTTTAAAAACCCTGTGTTTTAAGCAGTAGAAGAATCACTTCATTAAGATGATTACGGGTTTGATGATCTTTAATTGAAAGAATGTAAAGAAATGTTGTAAATGAAAGAATTCCGATTCATATTAATAATGGACAGTTATGATGAAATGAAGCTAGAGAATATTTAGAAAAATTTATACTTTAATAATAAGCTCAAATAAAATTGGTCAGACCCTCTTGTTATATTTACCACCAGAAGTGACATTTTTACTAGTAGCAATTATGCCGACTGGTTTGCGCCTGAAAAAAATAGAAATTTAAAGAAATCTAGCTTCTTCAATTTGAATAATGTTAAAAATAAGAATATCTTAAGAAATTTACAATTTAAAGTATTAAAATGTTAATTTTTGATATTCATGAATGGTAAGTATAAACTTAAAACCAAAAAGCTCTGGATTTTAAAAAGTTTGAATAGAGTTGGGAAAAGATTTAGACATCATTTTTGAAATTCGATGAAGCAAGGTGGAAATCTGAGACTCTTTTGAATGAAAAATAAATAATCAGTATTTTATAATTTTTGAATGGATGAGTTAATTGCTTTAAAAAGCAATGAAGCTACAAGAAGCTTGAGCATAAATTTACAAAAATTATGGAGTTTTAAAATGTATGAGGATATGATGACGTCGGTAAATCTAAATAAATTAGTGGAAACTCCATATATGATGGAAATTATAGTGTAAGTGTTGCCCAACATGATTCTTAAAGCAACTGAGATTATTAACATTAAATAAACCTTCTTGAAGAATTTTTCAAAGATGTTGAAAGAATTCTACATAAGTAAATACAGAATTCAAATGTATAAATCACAATAAAAATGGCATCTTTAGGAGACAATAAATGAATTTAATAAAGAATCTGAAGCAGAAATTGAAATTGATTATGATGAATCCTTGAAAGTTACCCATAACGATTTATAAAATTTGGAAATTATTGATTACCATTAAATAGCTTTAGAAGTTTGGAATATTTTGGAAGAAAATTTGATCCCTCAATAAATGTAAAATTCTTAAGAATCAGAGGGAGTGCAAAAATAACTTTAAACAATATTTGAAACTAAACTGTTGCTACCAAATTAGATATCAAAGATAGGAATAATTTAAAAAGAAGGAATAATTTAAGTTGCTTATGATGCATTAAAAGAATACAACCTTACAATTTACGACTTTTATTGTGAGTTTATCAATTATTACCATTTGAAATAAATCGAAAAATAGAGAAACTTAGGAAAATCTATTGATACTGATCGTTTTCTCCATGATCTATTAGAATACTCAATTAGATTTGCAAAAATAATGAGCAAGCATTAAATGACATAAGTTTAATATAAGTAGCAAGGATTTTTATATTAAAANAAAACAGTATTGCTAATTCATGGATTAGCTGGATCCGGCAAAAGTACTACAGCCAAAAAAATTGAAGAGTTTATTTGGAAATTACATGATAGTAATTAAAAAATTGGGAATTATGTACTAATACCTGTTTATATTTCATTACCCTCTTTAAAAACCCTATTTTTTAAGCAGTAGAGGAATCACTTAAATAAGATGATTATGGATTTGATGATCTCTAATTGAAAGAATGTAAAGAAATGTTGTAAAAGAAAGAATTCCGATTCATATTTATGATGGACAGTTATGATGAAATGAAGCTAGAGAATATTTAGAAAAATTTATACATTAATAATAAGTTCAAATAAAATTGGTCAGACCCTCTTATTATTTTTACCACTAGAAGTGACATTTTTACTAGCAGCAATTATGCCGACTGGTTTGCGCCTGAAGAAAAATAGAAATTTAAAGAAATCTAGCTTCTTCAATTTGAATAGAGTTAAAAATAAGAATATCTTAAGAAATTTACAATTTAAAGAATAAAAATGTTAATTTTTGATATTCATGAATGGTAAGTATAAACTTAAAACCAAAAAGCTCTGGATTTTAAAAAGTTTGAATAGAGTTGGGAAAAGATTTAGACATCATTTTTGAAATTCGATGAAGCAAGGTGGAAATCTGAGACTCTTTTGAATGAAAAATAAATAATTAGTATTTTATAATTTTTCAAGGATGATGAGTTAATTGCTTTAAAAAGCAATGAAGTATAAGAAGCTTGAGCATAAATTTACAAAAATTACGGTGTTTTAAACAGTATGAGGATATGATGACGTCGGTAAATCTAAATAAATTAGTGGAAACTCCATATATGATGGAAATTATAGTGTAAGTGTTGCCCAACATGATTCTTAAAGCAACTGAGATTATTAACATTAAATAAATCTTCTTGAAAAAATTTTCAAAGATGTTGAAAGAATTCTTCATAAGTAAATAAAGAATTCAAATGTATAAATCACAACAGAAAAGGCATCTGTAGGAGTCAATAAATGAAGTTAATAAAGAATCTGAAGCAGAAATTTAAGTTGATTATGATGAATTTTTGAAAGTTACTCATAACGATTTATAAAATTTGGAAACTATTGATCACCATTAAATTGTAATTGGAGTTTGGAATATTTTGGAAGAAAATTCAATCCCTTAATAATTGTAAATCTCTTAAGAACCTGTAGAAGTGCATAAATAACTTGAAAATATATTTGAAATAAATCTTTTGCTACCAAATTAGATATTAAAGTAAATAAAAATTAAATAGGAAGAAATAATCTAATTTGCCAATGATGCATTAAAAGAATACAATCTTACGATTTATGACTTTTATCAATTATTACAATTTGAAATAAATAGAAAAACAGAGAAACTTAGGAAAATCTATAGATACTGATCGTTTTCTGCATGATCTATTAGAATACTCAATTAGATTGGCTAAAACAATGAGTAAGAATGAGATGACATCAGTTTAATGTAAGTAGCAAGGATTTTATATTAAAACGAAAGAAAAGAAAAGAAGAACAATGGCTAAACGAATTTTTAATTATGATGATTAATATGGAGCTTATAAAAAAGATATAAGAAGTTGTTCACTTGTCTAATAAAAAGGTGCTAACTTATAATTTATCCATAAATCAATATAAGAGTTCTTGATTGCAGCTGATTTATATGAAGTTTTAGTTCAATCAAAAAATTTAGATACATAAATATTGAATATTATAAACGAATCTTTGTCAAAAGAAGAGAATCAAAATTAGAATTGTATTGAGTTTCTAACAAATCTTAAGTAAAACTATGAATAGAATTATAGAAAAATTGAAAATTTATCTCTTGTGTAAAAATAGAAATAATTGGATGCTTTTGAATGGACTATTTATTCTATTACTCGTTTAATTACAACCATAAAAGAACATGATATTAATTCTATTAATTATTCCACCGAAATCTATGCAGAAACAAGATTATATCTCAATTAAAAAATATATCAAGAGGTTAGGATAATAGAATTTTTGAAATTCTTAGTTCATCTCACTAAGATAGATAATAAATTTATAATAAGTGGGTCTAATGCACTTAATATATTGGTTGAAATGACGTGGATCTAACGAATTAAAATTTTGAAAATATAAGAATTAAAAATACTAATTTATTTGAGGGTAATTTTGCTAAATGCAATTTATCTAAATCTTAATTTATGAATGTGAATATAAATGGAATTAATTTAAATGTAGCTTAATTAATTGGATGTAACTGGCAATAATTAAAAATAAACGATTTGTATCTGGTAGTTAAGATTAGTCTATCCGTCTATGGAATGTCAAAACAGGATAATAAACAGCCAAATTAGATGGTTATTGTAATTTAGTTATGTCAGTTTGTTTCTCTCCTGATGGAAATACATTAGCTTCTGGTAGTTATGATAAGTCTATCCGTCTATGGGATGTCAAAACAGGATAATAAAAAGCCAAATTAGATGGTCATACTCATTATGTCTACTCAGTCTGTTTCTCTCCTGATGGAAATACATTAGCTTCTGGTAGTGAAGATAACTCTATCCGTCTATGGGATATCAAAAACAAGTATTGTTTAGATTACAAGATACCCTTTTTTTAACACCCCTTTGGAGTAAAAGAATATTATTTAAAATTTAGATACATCTAATATTATGGTTTACCCAGACTTCAATTTTTCAAGGTTTAAGAGAGCTTTTTTTTAAAAAACCGTTTCCTTTTAGGAGAATTGTTGGAGTAATACTTGATTAATTTAAAAACTAACCTATATTAACCCTTAAT